CAGTCTAATAGGAAATTGTCTTATTTTACGGCTTTTACTTTTTTAAAGTTACAATATATGTCCAAACTGTGTGGAGCTGCCGATACAAACATATATTCAGGCTTATAAGCCTGTAATTATACATTTTTCTACATTTAATTTGAAGTAGTATGCACCAACGGATTAAAAGTAGTAAATAATTAGTACCTTTTCTAGTACTTTAAAATGCGTGACCGGAATAGACCTGCCGAAAAAGTGAGGTTAAGTTACTGACAACACCTTGTTATTATTACACCATGGTCCCAGATTAACTTTTATTAGATTTTTTTGGTTTCATCTATATACAGGGTAAAAGTAGCGTGAAAGTAAAGGAAAAATACGACTAAAACTTTGGGAGTAGTATAGTTCTTCCGATATCGGTCGTTGCCATATGGCAACACGGGGCGTATTCCAGATGGATTGTTAGACGACAGTATTCGGTTAAAATATGAAATAATAGAAACATTGTTTATAAGTTTTTATACATTTATTGATAATAAATATATCCATATTCTACGTGCAAAGCGGATGAAGAAGTTAATTTTTAGTATGAAAATTAGCAAAACATTTCAAACATAAACCCACATCACATTTTGCACAGGCTACTCGTCCTATAGTTTTACATGCTTCCCCAGCAGAAGGACAGTAACGCCCTTTATGCATGTAAAAGAATGCCGGAAGTCGCTTGGGGTTCGTCACCTGCTCTGATGCATTGGTGCTACACAGCAATAGTCAGCACAATACTGCTCTATGGCGCTTTGGTATGCTGGAATGCCGCAAAAAAATCCTTATGCCTCGGGCCAATGGAGAAGGTTCAGCGCCTAGCGGCATTGGGCATCGCGGAAGCGCTGAGGTCCACTTCGACGGCTGCTCTTTAAAAACCCTTTAGTTTACCGCCCATTGGCCGATTTTCGGAAAACCGTGCTGCGAAATTCACACGTAGATTGACGGTCATAGGGAAATTCAATTTCAGAACCTTTTGGTACCGCTTAATTGGGGCGCGACAGACTTCATGGCACCTAGTTTTAAGTGGAAACGATTTTTTTGCACAACGGAGGAGGAGGGATGGCGCAAGGGATCCCAAACCTAGCCATAGATCCCTAAACATTTTCACGGACGGCTCTAAAATGATTACGGGAGTGGGTGCCGGGATTTACTGCCGGGAACTGAATGTCAGGCTTACAGCAAGACTACCTGACCATTGCAGCATATTTCAAGCAGAGGTTTTCGCAATGGGGATAACTGCAGAGCTAGCCTTCACTGAAACGACAATCAATTCAAAATTATACCTATTCCAGGCGGAAATTAAGGCAGTTTCCTCATACAGTATTTCATGCATAAACGTCCTTCGCAGCCGGGAAGCCATTGACAAGCTACAAAAGCCTACATATCTATTGGGTGCCCGGTCACAAAGGAATCTAGGGTAATGAGATAGCAGATGAGAATGCACCACCAGTTTTCCCAGGAACAGACAAACTACACTTATATACCACTTCAACACTTGGGCAATGAAATTTACGATAATATGATTAGGTAGTTCAGGGTAAGATGGAATGAGTTAACCACCTGCAAAACTGCAAAATTACATGCAACAGATTTTTATTTTACACCGTCTCATACATGATGGTATTTTGCGTTGCCATATGGCAACACGGGGTCAATTTGGGTTAAATGAAATAATGAACGAAATATTAATATATCTACGTGAATTACGTAATTTATGTGCTATTTAGTCGTATAAAAACTGCAAAAGGACTCAAAATTAAAATAAAACTACTATGAGATTTATGTAAACATCCAATTTAAAAACAATTTATGTTTTCATTAGTTAAATGTGCTTCATATGCATATACAAATAAACATATTGCACAAACGCTTATACTTCTTTTTCACAG